GCCCAGCCTGAGCCATCACTCAGGGCGCGCGCTGTGCTACGACCGTAACCTTGTACATCCATCACCCCAGACGCAAGCTCTTGATGGACAGAGAAGCTGGGTAGCGTGCGGCAGAGCAAGAGAACAAGGAGCGTGGCTGGTGGAAAAGCAAACAGGACAGTAAGAGCTCTTCCCTTCTGCATTCGTCATTATCCCACTGAAAGCAGCCGAGTCTACGTACCACAGCCTGCCAAGCCCGGTGGCACTCGAGCTGCTGCCAGGCGGTGGGCAGCAGCCCCCCCAGCAGCTGCGCCCTGGGTGGGCATCACCGACCGTCCCACGGCTGCGGCTCCCGCCGGAGCAGGGCACGAAGCAAACCGCCAGGGAACCGCTGCAGTCGGGGGTGCTGAACAGCCCATCCACTGCGCTCCTGGGCCCCGAACCAGGCCAACCCACGGCTGGTCGGACACTTTGGGGGGGGTCTGTGCCTGAGCGAGTGGTTCCTGAGAGGCTGGGGAATTCTGCAGCCTGCTCTGTGAAAGGACCGTCCTCCGAGACACTAACAGGTTTGGGATAACCTGACCGATACCTGACCTGGGGGCCTCCAGCCAGTGGTAGAGAAAGGAGACCTGCCGGCTGCGCTGGAGGTAACGTGAATTTAACGAGGACCACAAGGACCATGGAACTGCTGGCCTAAGGGACACTGATGATTTGCATGGCTGGAGGCATTGCGTGGGGATTAGTCTAACGTTTTGAGGTCCTGCCTACAAAGAGCCAGTATCAAACCTTTCTCCAAACACTGAGTATCAGTCAAATTCTGCTTTGGCAAATCCAGTTTTCTCCTCCTAGGCTCCTTACGGAGCATCAGACAAAGAGAATGCGCTTCTCTCCCTGCGGGAGGTAAGGGCTGCCAGTGCATTTTGGTGGTGGATCGAACGTTTCTGCCTGCTGTTTTGAGCACAGGAGGTGTGTGGGAGGAGGCCGTCCCTTCCATTAGACCAACTGGTACAGCTGGAGATGCAGGCAAGCTGTCGGCTGCTCGTTTTCATCTTTACACCACTGCAGCTACAACAGCACTGCACAAGTGTGTTGAGATGGAAGGGGCTCTGCGGCGCTACCCCAGCGACGTTTATTTTAGCCTCTCGCTCCCTGGGCACCAGGAGCCACTTCACAACCCTCTTACCTCAGCAAGCGCTTCTGCTTCTAGAGATTTCTGATCTCCGAGACTACTGTGTCTAGTCGATCCACAGGTTGATCTCAGCGGGTGGCCATCAGACAAGGCCTTCCTGTCTGGGAAATTGATGCTGCCTGCACTGCCGAATGTCGCCATTCTGCGCTTTTCGGGACTCTCAATCCTGCCCCTGTTAAGAGGTATTTTGTGGGGGCTGCTAGGGCAGGCCGCTGCTCGAGGAGGAGTGTCTAGGCCAGGACCCATCCCTCGGGGCGGGCTGTGGGTGTCCCCCCCGCTTCGACGGCGAGGGATAGCTGCACCGTCAGACCTCAATCTCACTCTGCAAAGAATCCATCACAAGACTAGGTCACCGTCCATCAGATCAAAGTGCCTGGTTGCATGCTGTAAGACAATCGCGCAGCTCAGAGTTCAGACCGAACCAAACTCGAGCCTTTCAGCTCCAGAAGACTAAGGCAAGAGGGCAGACAGACATTTTAGCCAGTGCCAAGAAAGGGACAGCATCGGACCTTCTTTACTTGGTAAGATCCGCATTAGCAATGCACACGAAAACCCCCTCCATGCTCCTTTATTCTGCAGTGCTTACTGGAGCCTGCCCTCCATCCTGCCCTACGCCACGCACTGCCTCTCCCCGCACACGACAGCGACCACCTCTGCCTTCATAGGAAAATGAGAGTTTCCCTACCGGCCCATTACTCCCCCAAAGCCATAGTCCACAATATGATCCGTCGGAGACTGGATGTCGTTCTTGGAGGAGGCTTTATCGTCCAACAGTGGTCCGCTGCTTGCCTCGCTGTCCGCCTTCTGGCTCAGGCTGTCGGAGAAGGCATCATCCCTAGGAAAAGGAGACCCCATCAGTAACAGGGCTCTGCCCCAGGAGAAGTGAGGGCCCAGCCACAACGTGGATCTGAACATCACCACTCCAGCACCTCCAGACTTCCTTAACAAAGGGCTGGACCACCTCTAGGACCTGCAGCTTGGAAAAAGCGAACATCACATCTCCATACCCCCCCCGCGCTGTACTTGCCATTGTAATTAATCCAGGCACAGTACTTGTCACAGAAGCGGCATCCGCGAAGGACCCCGGATCTGCCTACAGGCCGGGCGGGCACTGAGCAACGCCAGGTCAACGCACACTGGGGACAAGGCCAGTATTAAGCCGGGGCCGTACCGCTCTGAGGAGTCAATGATAGATGGGGTGCAGGCACACTGAAGGACAGTATTTAGTGCTTGGCTTTATCAGCTGGAACAAGAAACAATGTGAGCCAATGCATGGAGAGGCAGGCGTGAACAGGTCCAGGTTTGTCACCAAAGTCATTAAACCTCGGAAGATCTGACCACCTATTTGAGGTGGCTGAAGCGGACCTTGTGCAGGTACGCGACTTTAATGTCCCGGATCAACAGATGCCACTGTACTCACATGTCTTGAACCACAATGTACTGGTGGGGTATGAGGCCATCCACACCATTATGTCTCCCTTCCCACCAGTCTTCTGATGCCCGATGGTACAGGAGGAGCGAGGCCCCTTTCTTGAAGGAGAGCTCTCGTGGAGATCGTCCAGTGTAGTCAAACTTTGCTATGGCTTCAATCTGCTCCACTTCTGCAAAGGAGAGAAGCACAGACAGAGAAAGGCTCAGTTCAGCCATCACGAGGGCACAATAAATCCTGGAAGGAGACGTCTCACCAGCCCTAGCTTCCCAAGAGCAACTTACGCTGAGTACAAACCGTCTTATTTTCAGACTGATCGATTCTTTTGGTTCTTCCAGCCTTCCTGGAATTTCTCACAGGCTCACCAACTACCAGCCATTACAAAAAGCTACAAACCAGGTGGGGAGCAGCTGAAATTTCCCTGCGTGCATACTGCATCATCACTTGCACTCCCATTTTCTACCTATAAAGTGATTTCTTTGGTTACAGAACCCCATTATCCTCCAGCCTGGGACCTCGTCAAGCCGTGTCAGATCCTGTGATCAAAGCCCCGCTTACCCTCTCTTCCTTTCCTTGTCCTGGAGACAGCTTGGCCTGAATTATTGATGAGTAACGAATCCCCATAGAAACGATGGGGATCCCCATAGAAGCGATGATACCGGCTCGGGCCAGGGAGCTGCTCTGCATCGCCCCTGCCATCTGCAGGCCTGCTCTACCTCACCGCTCCTCCCCTTTTTCTAATGTAAGCTCTACCAAACACCAGGGGTTCACAAACTGGGTGCTCAGGGCCTGAAATTCAAGAGGGCTGAGGCAGTACCTCACCCTGGGAGGGTGAGCACACCGGGAAGCTCTGAGCCCCCGGCCAAGGGCATCCCAGCAGGAGCTGCTGGTGCTCCCGAAGAGCAGCCTGGCTGGCACCGAGGAGCCTGTGAAGGAGCCCAGCTCCTCTGCAGATCTGCTTCCAGCTGGGAGCGCTGAATCCCAGAGAAACCGCTGCAGCGACTGCAAAGCAGCGACAGCGTTCCTCTCCACCCTGGCAGGAGCGACCTGCACCCGCCTGGCTTCGCCCCGAGCTGGGGTGGAAACGCAGGCTGCACCCCCAGCTAGCTCTCGCCGCCCCCAGAGCCGGCAGGCGAGCAGTTCGTGCACCCTGATTGTCTCAGACACCCAAGCCCTTCAAACCCGACAGGCGACGACAAAGCTGAACAGGGCAAATCCGCCCAGTTCCTCCAGATCTGTCCCGTTCTCATTAAAACACGGGAACTTGCTCCGCTCCGCCTGCCTCGTCACTAACCACAGGCTCAGCACCAGCAGCGATCAGGATGCGACCCATCGCTCTGCTCAGCGACAAAACCCACACAGAGGAGGAGACACCGGAGGAGGGCAAACGCTGCATCAGACCCCTGCCCCCTCCGCAGCCTCCCGAGGGACAGGACAGGTCGCTTCAGCAGAGTGATTTTCCCCAGTTCAAAACGCACATCCCCACCAATGCGAGCAGCCGGGTGTTTGGGAGCACCACAGCATGGGGAGTGCTCTGGAGGAACGGGAGGGCTCCGATGAAATGTGTCCCCCAGCAGGGCGGGGGCATGGGGCCAGGGAGAGGAGAAGGAGGCTGTGGATTCACAAAATAAAGCTGCTCCTCTTCTCCACTCTTGCACTGCAGTTAATCACCCAGAAACTCCAATCAGAGCTATTAATGTGACCGCCCAAGCATAAAATTGACTAAATGGCAGCTTGCTCTCCATCTTCCCGTCCTGTCGGCTCCTGTCTGCAGCTGAAGGCAGGTCCTGAGCCGCCCGGCCCGGCTGCGCCCTTCCCCTCCCACAGTGCCAGCCAGCCGGGCGAGCCCTCCCGCCACCCACCAGCCTCAGAAGGTGGCAGCGCTTTGCCAGGGCAGGACACATCCAGGGGAACAGCGGCCGTCCGGAAAGCAGAAGAGGTGTCCGGCTCCCCGGCGCCCTTCCGTGCAGCATGGTAGCAGCGTGGTGGGGCTGCACGTTTGTCACCCTTCAGCAGTGCCAGCAGGGTCCCCCGGTCTCGCCCCGTGGCCGAGCTGCCGGTGCCTGCGGGGCGCGGGAAGCACAGCGCTGCCTCCAGCTTTGGTACCGCGTCCCGGAGCGACCCCGCTTCTTGCCCAGCTCTGCCAGCAGCCCCATTTCCACACCTCCCTCTGTGATCACCGTGAGCTTCAAAGCTTTTACTGGGAGCCCGTGTGTGAAACTCCGAGCTCGTTTACACAGAAGTGCAGGCAGACCCCAGCTTACAGAAAGCTGGACCTGAGCCCCCTCCAGGGCGCTACGGAACGCTGATGACGCACCCAGTTGCAAGGGATTCACACCCATCCACGCAGTCCTGGCTCACAACACGTCCTGCTTCGCCCTCCGGAGCCGGCCAGCTCCACAGGCCCGACGCGAGCAGACACGAGCCGGCGGGGGCTTCGCCACCGAAGGAAATGGAACTGGCTGCAGGGAAAGCCAGGCTGCGGCTGCTCCGATACAGGGGCGTTTAGCTCCTGCCAAGGAGATGGCTGCTTGAGAGGGGATGATCCATAGCATAACGAAACCGTCTGAAAGCCCCCCTGGCTTCAGAGGACCCCCAACAGGGCCACTGATGCTCACTGTTTTCCCCACAGTCCGTCCAAGGGCTGGAACAGCGGTGGTTCCCCCCTGCTTCAGCCCCCCATCTCCCCTCCTGATCTCATGAGCCATTTCACACAGTGTGTCCTCACCATCGCGTGGCTGCACGTAAGCACAGATGACAAGGGGGGAAAAAAAGTCATAGATGGGATTCATGGAATCTCACAGAACAGCTCCAAAAAACCAACCCCTGCACCCTGCCGCAGAGACAGACCACTGCGAAGGTCCATGCACGTCCTGTGATGAAACTCTGTAAGCAGCATTAATTAAAATGCAGATTACCAAGCCCACAGAAAGGCTGTCCCCCACCGAAGCGCCAGACGCCTGCCCAGCCCCTGCTCAGACCAGGAGCGGAGAGCACGCTGCCTCCCTGCAGGCACAGCTCTCCTAACAGACCCGACTTTCTGTCCGTGCTCACCGTCATCGCTGGTGTGTGGCTCCGTGCCGTTGTCATGGTCAACCTCATCGATGGTGCCTGGCTCGCTGTGCGGGCTGTCACTGAAATGAAATACAGCGTGCTGTCAAAGAAAGAATGAGATTCTGTTCCCAAGGCACTTAGCAGAAGTAAGTTGTTGAGGGAAATTCTGGCCCCAGTGACACTTGAGAGAGTTATGGGTGTAGTTTTTGTAGGACCAGGGTGGTCATTTTAAATCATCTCTGGACTTGCATTGGGAATAGCAGACACTCACACCATGACCTTCAGGCCCAGAACATTATGGTCTGTTGCTCGTGCACCTTACTCATATTTGGCAAAACAAATACAAACTGACACCAAGTAAAAATGTTCATTCACAACGAGTTTCAGTACTTCACCCTCCCCTTGCGTCAGTGAGGGTGCTGGCAGGTGACCAGCATCGGGGCAGGTGAGGTCTCAGGACTGTCTAAAGCTTGCACACAGATCAGTTCAAGTCTGCTATAAACACTGGTTTGTTAAAACTCGGATCCGAATGTCAGTTTAGAATTCCAGCATCCTCCAGACAAATGCGCAATATCACTTACTCGTCTAACATGGGAGTTGGGTTACGGGGTTCTCCCACCCTGGGAATACCGAGTGGGGCGCACTGGGCACCACAAAGACACGACACAATGCGATCCCGCACGGCTGGTCCCATCCCCAGCTAACACGAACTCATCTGCCTTCTCACGCTGACAAAACAAAGGAACTGGAAGGTTTGGGTTAATGCAGGCTCAGGGATTTCATCCAGCTTAGGCAGTTATGATGGAACCATGGGACTTCACTCAAAAATTCCAACCTAAGACGAATTAGGTTAGAATTGACCTAAAATTCTGTTTTGCTCTGAACACGCTTCTGTGAATCCGCAGCTAAAAGGCTTTCTATAAATATTAATGTTCACACTGGAAACAATTTTCTCCTGAAGTTTCTACTGAGGTTCGGAATGCTTAGTCAGCATGGGAAAAATGAAAATTAAACCTCGGTGAAATTCTGTTTTCACCAGCAAGGCTAAAACGAAAAGCAAACCTGATGTATGCAAGCAGAGACTCATTGGTTAGGTGTGATAAATCCTCCTAGCTTTATGAAGCTACTTAGAACTCAGAACCACACCTGGTACAGAGTATTCTTACCCAGTGTAAAACAGCACAAGCACATAAAATGTATCTCACTTGCACACCCAATTCATCACATTTAACAGGAATGCACGCAGAAAGGCTCACCCCTTCTGCAGAGGGGCAAATTCACCCCAGCACCGTGCTCGGCTGTCCTGAACAGCAAGTCTGAACTTCCCAAAGCTCTCCCGACACCCCATCCTCTTGGGAGATCTGCTCCTAAGAGCCCCTCTCCCACGCTGGTGGGAGCTGGGGTCAATTCTCTGCCTGCCAGGAATCAAGCCAAAGCCCTGCATTTGACACAGGTTCACCCTAGCAAGGGGATCTGGCTTTGAGCTCTGCAAACAATGAAGTCCTTACCAGTACTCCTCCCCTCCGGTCATGCACTTCTCGTAGACAGGTCCTTCCAGCTCTCTGTGGCTGGGGAAGATGCCCTCGTGGTTAATGATGATGGTTTTGATGACCTCATTGACATGGGCCTGGCAGGACACCGGATCCTGCCCATCTGGAATGTGCATGAGCGTGGGCCCAAAGCAGATGGCCAGGTTGTAGGGATCCATCATGTTCTCATCGCTGTACTGCGACAAGCTGCGAGCACAAGCATTAGGAAGGTGCGGTGCCGACTTCCCCCGTTTGCTCTCACCAACAAACCCCCACCGCCCAAGAAAGCCATCATCACCGAGCTGTACGTCTTCCCCGGACACACAGCCATGGCATGGCACAGCTGAGGAGGAGCAAAATACCACTCTCCGTGGCAATACCAAAGGACTCATGCAACAAGGGAAGCCCTGCTCTGGAAAAAAGGAGGGCAAGGAGAAACTCAGTGGCAGAGGAAAAAAAAAAAAAGACTCACTGATTAAGGAAAGCAAAAAGGTATCTCATGACAACGATGACAGCCCGGGGCAGAGTGATGATGATTTGCTGGATCTGGTGCACTCTCTCGGTGGGGTTCTCAATTTCTGGAACACATGGATAGAAAGCACATCTTTAAACCTTCTCATCACCAGACAACACGGCACCAGAAGGACTTGTCCCAGATTTAGTAGCCCACTAGGCAAGGAAAACGAGAGCCCGCTTCCAGGCTTGATCCACTGGTTTGGCATAGTGCTCTTCCATGGGTGAATTCATGCGTATTCAGGTTCAGTATAACCAGCAAATACTGACATTTCCATGGTTTTATTATTAAAATAACCGTTCACACATTCTTTAGTCCATTCCTCAACAACTACTCCACTTCTCAAAAGCTCTAGTCAATACGGCACTGGAAAACAGAGCACTGCTTGGTTTTCCAGTGCAGATTTCTAAATGAGGTTTTTATTCATGTTACTCTTACGGTTCAGCCATCAGGTCCTTCTGAGCCCTTCTGCTCCGGCCTCCCGCTGGTCTTAACGGGGACTTAATCTGAGCCGGTTCTGAGCCAGCACTTTCGGATTCACCTCCCTCCCCAGCAGGGCGCAGAGCCCGGAGCTGCCACCAGAAACCAGCTTCCTTCGGCGGGAAGGACTCAGAGCCACCCTGCCCTCGGTGCCAGCCCACTCGCCAGGGACCCCGCGCAGCAGCATCCTTCGCCCGCAGAGCTGCCGGAGCCCCGCTCCAGCTCCGACCCGCCGAGGGGCTCAGCGCCGCTCCTGCAGCACCTGGCAGCACATTCCAGCCCCTAGAGCTGCTCAGGTGTTTTTTAAGCAAGTATCTGTTCAATACATTATGTAGGCAGCTAATCCCGTGGCTTTTATTTTACAGAAAGCAGACAAGAGCACCAAAGTCCTCCTGAGAGCAGCCAGCCCCGGATGCACAGAATAAGCCGCATCAGTGGAGGGATGCTTACTTGACTGTGCTGGCTCAAACTCCGACGTTTGCTAATCGTAACCAAGTTCGCTGACAACGTGTCACTGGGCTGCCGTTTGTTCAAAAATTCTGAGCAAAATTTGGCTTCAGTCCAAAGACCGAAATCTCTATACTATTTCATTTTGGCAATTTTTCCTTCTGAGGAACGTGTTTATCCCCTGTTATTGCTTACTGGGTTCTCTGCTTCTTCAGTTTGGTTTCATTTAAGAGGACATTTGTTAAAGAAAAAAAATAATCAGGCATGTAAGAGCTGGACAATACCCTACAACAAAAGCTATCCGCTGTGAAGCCCCAAGGAACAAACTGGCTTGAAGCTCTTGCCTTTTTCACTTAGCAGAAATGTTTCAACTGGCTGCAATCCTGAGGAATTAACGGAGTAATCATCGATCACTTGACAACCCAGGCACAGCCCCGACCGAGCCTCTGCAAACACAGCGCCTTTTCTACCCATGTATTTCTCACGTGCATTTGAGGAGCGCTTCCATGTAAATTCTGGGTCCTCATCAGGCAACCCCGCCGGGGCAGCAGCCCTGCTGCCCAAGGCCCGCTCGGAACGCCTTACCAGCCACCGAGGGAAACGGGGGGCTTCGCCACGCGCTGTGGGGGAGAGCCCAGCCCCCTCGGCTGCCTTCAACCTTTCCGCCCCAGTTACACGGTGAGACAGAACATCCTACAGCGAGGGGGGCGTGCGGCCGAGCAGCGGTTCCCAAAGCAAGAACGTTTCTCCAATCTGTTTCGGTTGGGGCACCTATTACACAGCCTGTATTTATGCAGCAGAAGATCAGATACGCTTAAAGTCAGCTTTTTAATGAGGACAAGGCACTTGAGTTCATTTTATATCTATCCTTAACGGAACGTGAGCAATGGCGGCAAGAAAAGAAAGATGAGGAAAGGAAGATTCTTGCTAAAATGAGAAAAAAATAAAGAAAGGGAGAAGAGAATACTATCCAGAAAATTAACAGATGGTGTTTGCAATTAAAAGCTCCCCAAAGCTTAATAAACTGTGCAAATTGGCGTTAATTAGGGATGGTTCTGAAGCACAAGCCGATCTGCAGGCACACGGTCACATCACCGAGCAGCGGGCACAGTCCCTGGCACCGAAGGGGGCTGGCCCCCTTCTCTGGGGGCTGTGCCCTCCCAGGCTGCCCGCTCTGCCTGCTGCGAGCCCCTCGGGGAGGGCAGCCGGAGCGAGCGCTGCGAGCCAGGCCAAACCTCCCCGTCCGGGGCACGGAGCCGGAGCAGAAACAGCTCCCGTTGCTGTGTTACCGGCACACCGCGCTGCCTTACACATCAAAACTGAAAGGCAACAGTGCATTTCCTAAAGCTACCACATCAAACAACTGTTCTTGAGAAATAAGAGGAAATTCTTCTCCTTCTGGAACAAGCCCATCCCTGTGTCGTTCCCCTCTAGCTATCATCTGTCTGTCTGGACATCGCTAAGGCTCTAGCAGTTATGCACGTTAACGTTAGAAGGAGCCACGAGCAGTGAAAGCCAAATGAAGGATTTGGCACGCGTTCAGCAGCCAGTCCCCCTGAAGCTGCCCATGTACCAAGGCACGCAAACCCCAACACCTCTCCTGTGAAATGAAGTCGTCCTGCAGCCAAAGCGTGCCACGCGCTCCTCCGTCATCTCCGAAACATCAGATTCATTCTGCCTTCTTTCTTTCCCCCAGGGGAGTAATTCCCACGACTGGCCAATACATAAATGTCATCACTACAAGGTACGGAGAGAAATAAACCCCAGCTGGGATATCTGCTTCTTCAGTTGCAGAGGAACAAGTGGAGCTGGGAGGAGAATTCAGGACAGAACAAGAAGCAACCAGGCTCTCCCCAACATCAATCCCTTCACGATTAAAATCCCTCAGCTTCTACCTCTGCTCACATCCCAAAGCACTTTCTGGTTCTCTTTGGGGTGGGAAATGTACAGAGCAACCACCTGGGGAACAGCTGAGCGAGCAAGGTTGAAAGCAATTCTGCAGACCTCAGGGCTCGGAGAAGCTTTGTGAGTAGCCAAGAGTTATTGACCTTCACTAGCAGAAGACACGGAGCTAAAGCAGCAAAACCCCTTTGCGTCTCAGGAGCCATGGCCACTTGATACGTGGTGCTAGGAAGAATTTGAAAGAGCCATAGCAAGAGGTTTTCCCTCTCCCTCGCCTCCAGCGCTGCCAACACACACTCGTAGTGTCTTTTCCCAGCAACTTCCACAGCAGACCTATAGCCCTTCTTACAGCATAAACTTCTATTTGCAAAACTCAGAGGTACCTGCCACCCCGCCTACTGCTCCTCTTGTCCCACCCTATTCTCTGAGAAGAGCCGTCGCGTGTACTTACTTATAGTAGATATCAAATCTTGAAACCTTTCCTTAGGAAAGAGGGGGTTTTCCAGTCCTCGGAAATACAGCTTCAAGACTCCAGCCACTGAATTAATGTCACGTTCGTTTTGATCATCAGCAAGGGGATCTTCACCTGCCCAGAGAAGAGGTGTTATTTCCAGCATTACTATCGAGTTGGACTAGCACGAGTGGTTTTCACTAACCCAGTGGAAACCCAAAACTTCCCACAGCTCAGCAAACCCTCCCATGTGGGGGATGGGAACACTAAGCACGGTGCCAGCAATAAGGTACTCTGGTACACAGCATCACGCTGAGACGTGCTACAGCCCTACCTACAAAATCCCAGTTTGTCGTGGAGATATTAAACCTTTCCTGACGATGAGGATGTTATTAATTGGTTTTCCTTCACAGCTTCCAGCCCAGTGCGTTTTTGCATTTAAGGCAACAGCTCAGAGAGCTGAGGGGAGATCTCGGCGGTGGTGGGTGAAAGCCTGAGAAGACAGGCTTGGCTGGAGGATGCAGTTATGCCTCTGGAACAGACCAAACGGTTCTGGATAGCATTGTACCAACCTTAATCTATGAACGGCTTTCAAAACCTAAAGGATTTGGATACCGATCCCTCTTAAATCGGACGTGCAAATCCTCCAGCCTTTGACAATCTCACCACTGCCTTATTCACTGGCCTGGCCACCGTCACCCCAATCCTTCCAATGCTGCTCAAGGATCAATGCCATGGAGGCCATTACTCCACCCAGACTGCCCCGTCACAGCTCCACCATCACTCGGCGACAGCAGGACCGCTCTGCCCCATCCTGCCAGCCTTACGTCTGCCACCTGGTTTTCTCAACAGGCTCACCAGCAGCTCCACAACCAACACAGCCACCAGGTACACGTGGCAAGGCTGCTCCTCCCTTGACAAACCGCTGCGGGAAGGAGGAAAATGGATGCCCAGCAAACTATCTTGGGGCTCTCCTCTGAGGCTCTCACTCTCTTAATGACTGTGGAACAC